GCGTAAGTTCATATCAGCATAACCGTGTCTCCTTAACAAAGATCATTCACTGAAACTACCGTAGTACCACCCAAACAACGACCACACATCCTAATAAACATCCACCATTTTGTTGATATTACCATACGTCTACCATCTCTTCGTGTCACCATTCACCATTCTCCTGCACCTACCATGGCGACAGCATCGGCCGCCAGCATCTCAGAAGGCGTCAGCACTGCCAGATATGCAACGTTGGTCAGAGTGTAGACGGCAGTCACCAGGCCCGTCGAAATGATGATGGCCAGCGGTAGGTTCCTGTGGTAGACAACAAAAATAGATGAAGTTAAACCAAGAGAGGTCGAAGGTAGAACAGGAAAGGTAGAAGGTAAAGAAGGTAGAAGGAAAAAGTAGATGAAGGCAAAATAAGAGAGGTAGAAGGTAGACGGGAAAAGTAGATGAAGGTAGAACAGAAAGGTAGATGAAAGTAGAACAAGAAGGGTAAATGAATTGAAACAAGAGAGGTAGAAGGTAGAACGAAAAAGTAGATGAAAGTAGAACTTTTCTTTTTTCCAGGGTTTAGGGACTAAAACTCAAGAGCAGATGGAGGTAGAAAAGAGACTACGAAGACATTTAAGTTTAATTGCGCCGTTAGTATGTAAACAAAACTCCAGCTATCACAGACTATTCGGCGGTGCAGTTTGTGGAATAATGTACTTACTTATTTGGATTTTTCAGTTCTTCCACTACGTAATACAGATTTTCCCTGAAAAGAAAGCAATACATGAATTAGGTTAATCATTGTCATTAGAGGAGAGAAAATATAACATCTTATACTAGAGGTGGTTCGAACTTTCACTTCTCCCTTCTTAATAACCTTTCGGCAATCGATTAGCTGTTATGTGGACAATCTTCTACCGCAATTTTCCCTCGTCTTCATTTCCGTTTCCGTGTCTCTGACTGACTGGCTATTTTCTCTCTCTTCTCTCTTCTCTCTCTCTCTCTCTCTCTCTTCTCTCTATAATATATATATCTATATATATATATATATATATATATATATATATTTTATATACTATTCACATCTCGCTTTCTCTTTCTCCCCTCTCTTCGTACTCTCACTTTCACTTTCACTTTCACTCGCTTTCTCTTTCTCTCCCTCTCTTTCGTACTCTCCACTTTCACTCTCACTCTCTCTTTTCTTCACCCTCCCTTCCTCACTCACTCACTCACTCTCTCTCTCTCTCTCTCTTCTCTCTCTCTCTCTCTCTCTCTCTCTCTCTCCTCTCTCTCTCTCTCTCTCTCTCTCTCTCTCTCTCTCTCTCTCTCTCTTTCTCTCTCTCCCTCCCTCCTCCCTCCCTCTTTCATGTTCCTTCCTTCCTCTCTGTCCCTCTTTCATGTTCCCTCCTTCCCTTTCTTCCCTCCCCTAATCCCCCCTTCCTCCTATCCACCGTTCGCTCCTCCTCCCTTACCATCCAGAGTAGGAGAAGAGGCTCTGGTAGAAGGCCGTGGCAATGGCCGCCGCCTGCCACTTGGTCCCCTCCATCGGTGCTCTGAAGTTCTCCACGTGTCCCGAGGCCAAGTGGTAGAGCCCGGCCACGATGATCATGACCAGCGCCAGCAGCTTGGTCACCATGAACACGTTCTGCACCTTGGCCACCCACCGCACGTTCACGCAGTTGATCCACGAGAGGAAACCTGGGGGAAGGCGTGGGCGTTGAGAAGGAAGGGGCGGCGGCGGGTTTTCACAGCAGCTGATTGATTTTAATGCGTTTTTTTTTTCACTTGGTCTCCGTTGGTTTGAAAGGACTGACTGAGTGAGAAATACGCTTCGCATGCAAAAAAAAAAAAAAAAAAAAAAAAAAAAATTGATATAACAGAGTCAGGAAGGATTTCCTTGGTTAAAAAAATAAGGCATAGTTGAATAAATACTAAAAATGAATAAGTCACAAGAGTTTTTTTCCACAGGAACGGGCAGAAACGATGGCAGAAGACAGCAAGGCGGCGCCGAGAGACTCACAGATGAGGACGCAGCGATGAGTCTGGTGGCGGCGTCGGACACGGCCTCGCAGTCGGGGAACAAAGGCTGCAGGAGGTAGTTGGCGAAGGTGAGGGCGACGATGGCCGCTCCTGCAGAGTTCCTGATCACGGTCGTCACCCACATGTAGAGGAAGGCCGGCACGGCGCCGAAGGCCTCGTGCAGGTAGCAGTACATGCCCCGCTCTCGGGATCATCGTGCCTGAGGAGACGAGGGGAGATACCATACATACATACACACACACACACACACACACCACACACACACACACACACACACACACACACACACACACACACACATATATATATATATATAATATATATATATATATATATATAGTGACAAATATATACATAGATAGGTACATATATATAAAGAGATTCATAGATAGATAGATACATAGATAGATATACATAGCTAGCTAGATGTGTGTGTGTGTGTGTGGTGTGTGTGTGTGGTGTGGTGTGTTGTGTGTGTGTGTGTGTGTGTGTGTGTGTGTGTGTGCGCGCGTACATATATATGTAAATAAATAAATATGCATACATGCATATATATAGTTACATACCACCATATACACAATTATTTATTTATGATAGATGGAAGGCTAACTGAAAGAGAGGGAGAGAGGAGAGAATAGAGAGAAGAGAGAGAGAGAGAGAGAGAGAGAGAGAGAGAGAGAGAGAGAGAGAGAGAGAGAGAGAGAGAGAGAGAGAGAGAGAGAGAGAGAAAGAGAGAGAGAGAGAGAGAGAGAGAGAGAGAGAGAGAGAGAGAAGAGAGAGAGAGAGAGAGAGAGAGAGAAGAGAGAGAGAGAGAGAGAGAGACAGACAGACAGACAGACAGACAGACAGACAGAGAGAAACAGAAAGAGACAGACAGACAGACAGGCCCAGACAAACAGACAGAGGCACACAGACAGATAGGTAGCCATACAGAGGCAGGCAGACAAACAGACATAAGAGAGAGTGAGAGAGAGAGAGAGAGAAAGCTATAAAGAAGGCGGGAGAGATGTCTGTCTGTGGAACCTGAAAAGCCGGCCAAGGTTAGGCGGCGGCAGAGGGAGGAGCAAATTGGGGACAGCAACATTACTTACGCATTTTTCATCCCAACATTGCATATCCTCGTCTAACTCCCTACCAAGGTGAATTACAGACGCCCTAAGACAGGTTTCTTAAGGGAGATGTTCACTCTCTCACTTTCTCTTACACTTTAGAAGCCATTGTGCTGTCATGTGCAAGGTAGTGTGTTGTTGGGGAACGAATGCAAGTGGTGCCTGTCCTCGCTGGTGGCACTTTATGCACTGAATAACTTACAGACGTTAAGATTAATTGCTCTTCCTTTCATTTATCTATCGCGTGTTATGTTCATGCTTCAATATCAGGTTGCGAAGTCAAATCTAAGCTTATGACGCAGATATCATCATCAATCATATATACTTACGAGAATCAATCATTTTTTCTACCCCTCTTTTGGTTTCAGTATTTAAATCGAACGTGGTATTATTTTCAAACAATACCAGTGTTATAGCAAACAGGGATTACTTTTTCCCACAAGGTCTCGTAAAAATAATAATGCTAATAAAGCTCAAAGGCGCTGTTAGGACCTAAAACACCGAGGCATTTTCAGCCTATAAATTGCCCATTTTCAGAGTTATTTTAGAGTATAACTAATGTAAAATGCGGGTCAGAGTGGTTTGCCAAGTAATCCCAGTCAGCTGCTTAATCTGACTTTCAGCAAATGTCTTACTTCTGAGATTGCGATCCGAGATTATTTATAAAGTTTCGAATCCTCACTTTCCGTAACATGGCAACATCTAAAGACAGCAATAATCTGTAGAGGATTTCCGGATTTATCTTTTTATTACGTCGAAAGGTAAAAAAAAAACAATAATTATCATCCTTGTCCTTGACTATCCTGTCGCTCTGAACTTCCACAAGCAAACAGGGCAATATGAATCCTTCCCGTTGGTGCCAGAATGTGATAACATCCCTCCTTTGTTTAGGACAATTAGCAAACCTTGTTATATATAGTTTTATCTTTTCTATGCCTCTTACATTAATTTCAGAACATTGTCAAGTTTTCGATGAAAATGAAGGGAATGAAAGAAAATGAGGTTTCATAAGGTGATCTTAAATTATTATACTTACATACTATTTATTCTAGTTCAAAGGAATCTGTATTGGATTAACTCGTATAAAATAATAATAATAATAATAAATAGCCTGAACGAACCATATGCAAATAGTTTTTTCATAAATATTTATTCATCTCGAAATCGAATTTCATTTATAGCATAACCTTCCAAATATTTTCCATAGCTATATACAAGTTGACCTCCACAAAGCAACCATGACCAGAAGGAAAAAGTCATCCCGACTCACCCAGCTCGGCGAAGCAGAGCGCCCCGATCATGGCTATCAGGCCGCACGCTGCCCATACTGCAAGGGACATGCCCACACTCCCGGCGTATAGGATGACGCCCTTTGGAGACACGAAGATGCCCGACCCTATCACGATGCCCACGATCATGGCCACGCCTTCCAGCAGGCCCAGTTCCTTCTGTAATTTGACGCCGCCATCGTCTTTCGGTGACTCGGTCGAGGCCGCCTTGTCTTGCGCGGAGGGAGGGGGAGTCTGCTCGGGAAGAGCCTTCTTCTCGGTCGCCATTGTCCTGCTAGGTAAGCTGTGGGGAAAGCGTGAAAATGATTAGGCCCGTCTGGATGAAAATGAGTGAAAAACTACTAAAAAAAACAACGCCAATATACCTGGTCCTGGAAAGGCTCTCCTAGCCTTACTTTCCCGTCTGCCTCACCAAGCTTCAAGGTCATCCGTCTGACCCAGTGCCCTCCGACTCTAATACTGTTTGATTGTTCTAGATTCGTGGCGGTTAGCACAGCATAGAACCCTTTAAAATGGATTATCGTTTGAAAGTGAATGCACGCTTATGAGCATCTAGTCTAGGTTTATCGTATCAGAAACCTAATGGTGTTTGGCTGTTCTCCGTTTTCTTTTTGTTTACGACACCCGACTGATAACCCCAGCAAGGAATGTTAAAACAAGGCATATAGAAAAATATAATTGTGCAAAGGTTGAACATCTATATAAATGTATATAAATCGTATATACGGCTCCTGTATATAGATCGAACATGTACATGCTCTTGTTATTCTCGAAGTAAGAAGAGCAAGAGACTACAATAAATTTTATCACATTTCGTAGTAATATTCATTAATCATTAAATTCAGTTATAATCGCGACGATGATGATGATGGTTGCGACCACCGATAAACCTTCCATCTCTCCTCGGTCGGGCTCATACCACCCGAATAGGCAATGGGAAACTACTCTCGCCCGGCTACGAATAGGTCACACCCGCCTCACGCACTCATACCTCAGGTCACGCTCCAACTCACCTCCTCATGCAATGCTCTTCTCTCAGCCCTACATATCCCACTATCCTGCCGCCCCTTTCCCTTGTCTTCTCTTCCCCGACCCCCACAGCCTGTCGGACATCCACAACATAACTCTTTCCCCCATCTTTTCAACTGACGATCTGTTCTCCTTCGTCAGACGCATACATACCCATTTAATATAATCACTCTTTGTCCTTAACTCCTTCCCCCTCTATCAATCCCTATCCTGCCCCATTTATCCCCCGTCCTTTTACTCCTTTCAACGGTCATATAGCATTATAAGATATCATAATGCTATATGACCGTTAAAATCTAGAACATTTTGTTCTGATAAAGAACTCGTTTAATCCCTTTTCACCACAATACTTTACCATAGTGCTATATGACTTTTGATGTCTAGCACATATATTTGTTAAATCATTAACCATTAACCGCTAACGACAGATACTAATCTTGATCTGATGTCAAACAATACAAAAGCATTCACGTATAAGTACCTTAATCGTCCTGGATCCGTTACCACACTGTCACATCCACAACATCATTCTTTCCTTCACACCGCGCGTTACATGCAATCCTCACTGTTATCATTAGATTCCCAGGTGACCGATCCTGAGCCGCCCGTCCGCCGTGGCCGCTGGACCGACTGTGGCCGCGGACGCCTGCCGACGGGGCGCCCCGCCTCGCGATTACAACTTTCACTTGTGACGGAGGAACCCGCATAGTGACAGTAGTAGGACCTGCGCGATAAACTAGATTCTATTGAATCACTACGCCAATATGGTGTCACAGGTGTTCGGTTAGAGTTCGCGAAATTTTGCGTATATCGATGGGTAGAATACTAAGGTTAGGAGGCTGTTTTACGCGTGATAAAAAGATAACAAAGAAATGAGGACGGGCATGACCTTGTATTACACCCTGAGGTTTAAATAGATGTTTTGACTAAGGCGCAGTTAAACACTCGTGTGTGAATGCATCATTTGTATGTTTGTGGTAAAATGATGGAAAACCCGAGCGAGAGGCAAAATAATCCTTAAAATGAGAGGTCAAGTAATTTCGTGTGTGTGTGTGTGTGTGTGTGTGTGTGTGTGTGTGTGTGTGTGTGTGTGTGTGTGTGTGTGTGTGTGTGTGTGTGTGTGTGTGCGTGGTTGCGTGCGTGCGTGCGTGCGTGGGTGCGTGCGTGTGTGTGTGTGCGCGTGCATGTGTGTGCACATAAACATTCACACTCCATACAGAATACAACTCATTAATGCGGCACACTAATCAAGAACAAACCTAACGCAATTATCACAAACATTATATTGAACGATACTTGACCAAGCAACAAGTAAAATCCTCTCGCATTTGACCCCCTGGATGGATGAATCGGCGACCTGACTCGGTATGTAGATTATCGATGGAATTTTTACACGTAAACAAACAGCCGCGCGTTGGGATCAGCTGGAGGCGAAAAAATGGTGGACAAAGACTGTAAAGACTGAAACAAGAACGTAGAGAAAGCAAGCGATATTAGTATTTTGGTAATCCTCAGTATTTGTCGGAATCTCTCTCTCTCTCTCTCTCTCTCTCTCCTCTCTCTCTCTCTCTCTCTCTCTCTCTCTCTCTCTCTCACACACACACACACACACACACACACACACACACACACACACACACACACACACACACACACACACACACACACACACACACCACACACACACACACACACACACACACACACACACACACACACACACACACACACATATATATATATATATATATATATATATATATATATATATATATATCAGACCACTATTTGTTTATTAATAAGTTCTTCGTAACAGGACTCTATAAAATATAAGGATTATACTCGAAGATAGAAAATCGTAAAGCAAAGAGCGATGAAATTCAAACCAACGAATCCTTGTATAAAAATGAAGAAGACAGAAAACGAAATCATAAAAAAATTAAAATTACATGATGTTATTTGTCATCTGCAGTTGCTAATTCTAGTCCATAGAAATCGAAAAAATGTGAGTGTACAGTAAACTTTCTCTGCCATGAAAATATGTGCGGATATATCGTGGTCATATATTCATAGAAAAAGGCATGATGGGAGCACTACAGAAAACGTTGTATAAGGTAAACTTCACTAAAAAGAACATATTTAGTAGGCCTACTTTCATGTAGCACAAAGTAATCATTCAAGAGTCCTTCGCATTACCGATCACGTCGATAGTGGTATCGATGAATTTCTCTCTACTACCCATATACAGCGATATTGAAATGATACCCCGTTACCCACAATCTTGGCCTCAATAGTTTGTGAGGACTTGAATGGTACCACAGAAATTGCGGATTAAAATATGAATAACATTCATAACATTGTTCAATCAGTCAAACCCTCCAACGGGAAATGCCGCCCCAAGCCCCGGCCCAAGATGAAACCCTGCGTTCTCTCGAGCTTTCTGCACGGTGCGCTTCGCCCTGGTCCTGGGTGAACGGGTTCGGTGCGCAAACCACCTGTCAGCTGATTATCGTAAACAAACAGCTTGCACAGCGGACGGAACGCCGATGAGACTCGTCGAAGGCTGATTTACTGATTTACCACACACACTTTGTGACTAACAAAGATAGAAAGGTAAAATGATATATGTATTGCAGTTGATATAGAAGCTCTAAGCTGGCGGCCATTTTGCGAACTACCACCAATCCTCGGCCTCTTCGTCACGCACCGCCTCGCGAAAGGCTTTGTCACGGCAACCGTTCACTTGATTTTGCCGCGCAACATACGTGGTGAACACGGGTCCACCACATATGTTCGACAAGAGAGAGCTTAGGGCACAGGTTCGGATCCAGGGGGTGGGAATGATCGCCTTTTTTGCAGGATGATATTTTTCAGATTTGCAACTTTGTGCTTACCTATTTTTCCTTGTATCCACACTAGGAATAGACCAATAAGTACTTAAGCATTCGGCAGAGGCTTGGACGAGGAGTATTAATATGTTCAGTATGGTGGTGGCTTCCACCCCCCCCCCCTCCGTTTCCGAAATGTCTGGATCCAACCCTGGAGCAGATTCGGCGCCGGGCGCTCCCAGGCCTTGTGATTGCATATATCATACACCAATACTTCTATTGCGGGGGCTGCCTCCTCTGCGCCCCCTGGGGAAGATGCCGGCCCCAACCCCCGCCCGATATTCCAAAGAATACTATACATATTTAGCCAATGATAAGGGTATAGGAATGTACCCTTAGTAGCAGCACACAAACCTGTGGCATAGTCAGCATTATAAGCTGACTAGAATGTGGGCTATTCCGGATCATCGTCGTCCATCAGTTAGCTTGGGAAGTCATTATTCCCAGGCTGTACCTTGTGTTCATCCCGCATGTTAGTCGCATGCTCTATCCTGTCGTGAATAAATGCAGGATTATTCGTCTTTCTGGCCGGGGTTTGGGTGGCAGCACTTCTCCAAAGCGTGGAGTGTGAGAAGAATCTACCGATGCTATCGTCGTGATCGGTTGTGTGTTGAAGGCAACAGTACTGCATTACGTATTCTCGTATACACATATGCATACTTATATACTCATCTATCTATCTATCTATCTGTTATATATATATATATATATATATATATATATATATATATTTAATATATATATACATGTGTATATACACACACACACACACACACACACACACACACACACACACACACACACACACACACACACACACACACACATATATATATATATATATTATATATATATATATATACATTATATATATATGTGTATATATATATATATATATATATATATATATATATATATATATGTATATATATATATATATATATATATGTATGTATGTATATATAATATATATATATATATATATATATATATATATATATATATATATATATATTATATGTGTGTGTGTGTGTGTGTGTGTGTGTGTGTGTGTGTGTGTGTGTACATATATGTAGATAGAAAGATAGATATGGATATATGTGTTTATTGTGTCTATTCACACACACTCACATATATAGAAATTTATATCGTGAGCAAGGGCATTAGCTGCAGTAATCTGAAGCGTACGACCGATTAATCCGCCTCGTAGTGAGGGATGCGCTCTCCTACCCACAAAATAGACAGATATATAGATAGGTGCACGCCCTTCTACGTAATCCGACGTGTCTCCCTCTGTCCCGAACGAAGTAGCAGGAAAAAAAACGCCAGCAGTGTTTGACGAGGCGCCAGAGATGTCGCAGCTCCGAGAATTGCTGTGCTTCTTCTGCTTGGCCTGGGCCGCGCAGGGCAAAAGATGTCTCGACCCTTATCCCGTACATATCGTGGATTCGCCCCCACCTCGCCCCTTCCCTAGCACGGCGGGGCTCATCCAGGAATCCACAGTCATTGCCCATGGATACGTGGAGAGCATCCATGACCTGGCCGACGCTCGCCACAAGGAAGCAGAAATCGTGGTCTTCAACGTGCTGTGTCTCGACCGCTGCATCGACGAACTGAAGGTCAAATTTGTGGATGACGATGACCACGGTGCGGGAGACGGGTTCCT